GGACATTCTCAGTGGCATGGAGTGGGCTGGGAAGCCTGGAGCAGGACTCTGGCTGCGGCATCCTATAGCAGCGGAGAAGGAAAGTTTGGACTTTCCTTAAGTTCTCATTTTTTTATTAGTTTATTCTAAGTTAATGTGAATGGCGCTTATGCACAGTGACAGTACACACTTCTCACTGTATTTAACATTGAATACACGTGACAATAAAGGATATTCAATTCAATTCAATGCCTATAGATTGTAACAATTCTCTACAACTAATGTTAAACTGACTGGTGTTTCCAGTCTTTTGTTTTCCTCCTTTCTTCAACAGAAATGACACATTAGTGATTCACCAATCTGATGCGATCTTTCCAGAAACTATACAATTTTGGAAGATTATAGCTAATGCATCTACTATCTCGGTAGCCACTTGTTTTAAGACCCTTGGATGACTAGAATATAGAAGCCTTGTTAGACCTTTAGTCTTAATAGTTTACTCATTCACTTTTCCCTAGACAAAGTTTCTTCCTCTCTTTACCTCTTGAATTTCAAGAGCCTTTGGATATGCCGTCGATATAAGATCTATCTTAGATAGTAGAAACTGCAGATGCTGGAGAATCTGAGACAACAAGGTGTAGAGCTGGATGAACACAGCAGGTCCGAAACATCGGCCTTCCTGCTCCTATGATGCTGCTTGGCCTGCTGTGTTCATCCAGCTCTACGCCTGGTTGTCATAAGATTTATCTTTCTGTCTTTGCCATTTGCAAATTCGCCATGCGTAACTGCATTTGCTTATTAGAGTTTTGGTTGGTAGTGAACTTACAATTGCTGAGACTGCATTTCAGTTTCTTGCCACAAATAAATAATTAGGTGAACCTGTTAATGTAATGCAATGATGTGTGAAATTGCTATTAATTGATTTTATATAAGAGCTCCTTCAGGGCTCTTGTTGTGCAGTGGCAGTGTCTTTTGCTCAAGCCAAAATCTCACCTGCTCTTGAGGGATGCTTTCATACATCTAAACAGGTCGATTGAAAATAATTGCAGGAGTTCCTTGCAATAATACCCTGTTAACTATTGTCTGCTGATTTAGCAGAGAGAGGATACATCTTCTGCAGTCACATCCTGGCTCCTGCTGAGACTTCCTGCAATTGTAATTATTAACCCGTTCTCTGAAAGGCAGCATGTCAGATGAAATTGGTCTGGTATCTTCTGCTTCAATTCACAATTTTCGGAACTATGCAGGATTAAATGAATGAAGCCGATTTCATTCATGAATAACATACAGAGTAAAATATACAGTTAATATCAAGTTGATAAAGAGACTGCTTACATTTTAGTTCTGACTTTCTCTTAGGCCTTGATTCAAATATATAAGTGGTTAATACAGTTCTCTCCTCATTATTTTGATTATGGAGTTTACCGAGTTAACATAAGAAAGCTGATGCACCTTCTAAAATTACAAAAGGGAAATTCAGCCAGACATGTGCACATTGTCAGACTGGTATCCCAGTGTCATTTATGTTACTAGATGTTTTTTGAAAGTATAATTTTACCCCAGTTACTTTACCTGTTGGAATTCTTTACTATTGCTCTTCCCATCCACTCCATCAAGATTTACAAAACAGATCTAGAGAAAACAAACAACAGAATTCAACTGAAGAACATTCATAGTCAAAATTTATCCAACAGAATAGAGTTTCCAGCTGTCAGGCTAGGTAGTTACTGCAAAGCTTTTTAAATCGGGACTGAGCAGTGAGTGGGCAGATCATGGTAAGTCTGAGCTTACTGCAGCTGTCATGGGTGACTCTGGGAGCGTGGGAGAAACAGGCAAACTAATCACCAAAACTGACATTTTAAAAGTGAACTGTGTGCATAGTTTCAGAAAGGATTTGTTTTACTGATTCACACTTTGTAACATATGGACCTGAAATGCCCTTTTGACAGGTGAAGGTCCCTGCCAGGAGTGCAAAAGCAATAGTAATAGCAAGGTTCTGAGGAAGGGTCACCGGACCCGAAACGTTAACTCTGTTTTCTCCTCCACAGATGCTGCCAAACCTGCTGAGCTTTTCCAGCAACTTTGTTTTTGTTCCTGATTTACAGCATCTGCAGTTCTTTTGGTTTTTATTCAGTAATAGCAAAGTGTTCACTTACAGAAATTGTGGTGGGACTTTCAAATACAGCGTGTTCAATTGTAGTCAGCACACCACCAAAATCAGACACATGTATTGGGGCTTTTGCGACATATTGTATCATTTTACTGGGAGCTGGTGTACATGCTAACCACTTTTGCCCCTTCTGTGTGCCATACTTGACCCCCTCAATAAGTCTGGCGTAATCACAAGGGAAACTAGGCACTTGCCTGAATCTGCAAAATTTGTGATGTTTGGGCATAACAAAAAAAATGAACTATTTGTGAATCTAATAACAAGATAAGCGGTTTTTATCAGTGGGAATTAAAGTTTGGATCTACGTAGCCTAACAAACAGACTTCCATAGCATTCACATAGCAGTCTTTCCCAAAGTTTTATACTACATTCCTCATTCTATTTCTGCAACCGTTTTATAACGATCACAAAGCTATTCCAAAACTGCAAACCAGGAAATAACATCAAAAACTATAACTTAATCTAGAGATAGTAGGAACTGCAGATGCTGGAGAATCTGAGATAACAAGGTGTAGAGCTGGATGAACACAGCAGGCCAAGCAGCATCAGAGGAGCAGGAAGGCTGACGTTTCGGGCCTAGACCCTTCTTCAGAAATGGGGGAGGGGAAGGGGGTTCTGAAATAAATAGGGAGAGAGGGGGAGGCGGATAGAAGATGGATAGAGGAGAAGATAGGTGGAGAGGAGACAGACAGGTCAAAGAGGCGGGGATGGAGCCAGTAAAGGTGAGTGTAGGTGGGGAGGTAGGGAGGAGATAGGTCAGTCCAGGGAGGACGGACAGGTCAAGGGGGGCAGGATGAGGTTAGTAGGTAGGAGATGGGGGTGGGGCTTGAAGTGGGAGGAGGGCATAGGTGGGAGGAAGGACAGATCAGGGAGGCGGGGACGAGTTGGGCTGGTTTTGGGATGCGGTAGGGGGAGGGGAGATTTTGAAGCTTGTGAAGTCCACATTGATATCATTGGGCTGCAGGGTTCCCAAGCGGAATATGAGTTGCTGTTCCTGCAACCTTCGGGTAGCATCGTTGTGGCACTGCAGGAGGCCCAGGATGGATATGTCGTCTGAGGAATGGGAGGGGGAGTTGAAATGGTTCGCGACTGGGAGGTGCAGTTGTTTAGTGCGAACCAAATGTAGGTGTTCTGCAAAGCGGTCCCCAAGCCTTCGCTTGGTTTCCCCGATGTAGAGGAGGCCACAATGGGAACAGCGGATGCAATATACCACATTAGCAGATGTGCAGGTGAACATCTGCTTGATGTGGAAAGTCTTCTTGGGGCCTGGGATGGGGTTGAGAGGGGAGGTGTAGGGGCAGGTGTAGCACTTCCTGCGGTTGCAGGGAAAAGTGCCGGGTGTGGTGGGGCTGGAGGGGAGTGTGGAGTGGACAAGGGAGTCACGGAGAGAGTGGTCCCTCCGGAAAGCAGATAAGGGTGGGGTGGGATTGCAGATGGCGGAAGTGTCGGAGGATGATGCGTTGGATCCGGAGGTTGGTGGGGTGGTATGTGAGGATGAGGGGGATTCTGTTTTGGTTGTTATTGCGGGGAGGGGGTGAGAGGGATGAGTTGCGGGAAATGCGGGAGACACGGTCGAGGGCGTTCTCGACCACTGAGGTGGGGGATGTTGCGGTCCTTGAAAAACGAGGACATCTGAGATGTATGGGAGTGGAATGCTTCATCCTGGGAGCAGATGCGGCGGAGGCGAAGGAATTGGGAATAGGGGATGGCATTTTTGCACGAAGGTGGGTGGGAGGAGGTGTATTCTAGGTAGCTGTGGGAGTCGGTGGGCTTGAAATGGGTATCGGTTTCTAGGTGGTTGCCAGAGATGGAGACAAAGAGGTCCAGGAAGGAGAGAGAGGTATTAGAGATGGTCCAGGTGAACTTAAGGTTGGGTTGGAAGGTGTTGGCGAAGTGAATGAACTATTTGAGCTCCTCGTGGGAGCACGAGGCGGCGCCGATACAGTCATCAATGTAACGGAGGAAGAGGTGGGGTTTAGGGCCAGTGTAGGTACGGAAGAGGGATTGTTCCACGTAACCAACAAAGAGGCAGGCATAGCTTGTGCCCATGCGGGTACCCATGGCCACCCCCTTTGTCTGTAGGAAGTGGGAGGAATAGTAGGTTTGTAGGTTACGTGGAACAATCCCTCTTCCGTACCTACGCTGGCCCTAAACCCCACCTCTTCCTCCGTTACATTGATGACTGTATTGGCGCCACCTCGTGCTCCCACGAGAAGCTTGAACAGTTCATCCACTTCATCAACACCTTCCAACCCAACCTTAAGTTCACCTGGACCATCTCTAATATCTCTCTCTCCTCCCTAGACCTCTCTGTCTCCATCTCTGGCAACCACCTTGAAACTGATATCCATTTCAAACCCACCGATTCCCACCTGGAATACACCTCCTCCCACCCAACTTCCTGCAAAAATGCCATCCCCTATTCCCAATTCCTTCGCTTCCGCCGCATCTGCTCCCAGGATGAGGCATTCCACTCCCACACAGCTCAGATGTCCTCGTTTTTCAAGGACCGCAACATCCCCCACTCAGTAGTCGAGAACGCCCTCAACCATGTCTCCCGCATTTCCTGCAACTCATCCGTGACACCCCCTCCCCGCAATAACAACCAAAACAGAATCCCCCTCGTTGTCATGTACCACCCCACCAAACTCTGGATCCAACACATCATCCTCCGACGCTTCCGCCATCTGCAATCTGACCTCACCACCAAAGACATTTTTCCCTCCCCACCCTTATCTGGTTTCCGGAGGGACAACTCTCTCCGTGGGTCCCTTGTACACTCCACACTCCCCTCCAGCCCCACCACACCCGGCACATTTCCCTGCAACCGCAGGAAGTACTACACCTGCCCCTACACCTCCTCCCTCATCCCCATCCCAGGCCCCAAGAATACCTTCCACGTCAAGCAGATGTTCAGCTGCACATCTGCTAATGTGGTATATTGCATCCGCTGTTCCCATTGTGGCCTCCTCTACATCGGGGAAACCAAGCAGAGGCTTGGGGACCGCTTTGCATAACACCTACACTTGGTTCGCACTAAACAACTGCACCTCCCAGTCGCGAACCATTTCAACTCCCCCTCCCACTCCTCAGACGACACGTCCATCCTGGGCCTCCTGCAGTGCCACAACGATGCTACCCAAAGATTGCAGGAACAGCAACTCATTTTCCACTTGGGAACACTGCAGCCCCAATGGTATCAATGTGGACGTCACAAGCTTCAAAATCTCCCCTCCCCCTACCGCATCCCAAAATCAGCCCAGCTCGTCCCCACCTCCCTAACCTGTCCTTCCTCCCACCTATCCCCTCCTCCCACCTCAAGCCCCACCTCCATCTCCTGCCTACTAACCTCATCCCGCCCCCTTGACCTGTCCGCTCTCCCTGTACTGACCTATCTCCTCCCTACCTCCCCACTTACCTTTACTGGCTCCACCCTCGCCTCTTTGACCGGTCTGTCTCCTCTCCACCTATCTTCTCCTCTATCCATCTTCTATCCGCCTCCCCGTCTCTCCCTATTTATTTTAGAACCCCCTTCCCCTCCCCCATTTCTGAAGAAGGGTCTAGGCCCAAAACTTCAGCCTTCTTGCTCCTCTGATGCTGCTTGGCCTGCTGTGTTCATCCAGATCTACACCTTGTTATCTCTATAACTTAACCTAGCCCAATCTATCATAATGACTGTTGATTGTACAATTTATGCATAAGATTATCCATTAACTGTTGCAACAAGAACACTATTATATCTTTGAACCCTGTTACATAATTATAATGTGCATTTCTTCCAGTGCATCTTTGATATGCCACTGTTTGGTAGGGTTTTGCCTGTAGTGGACAAAATTTTTACCTGCTAAGTCAATACTTATGTTAGTGCGTGTAAGATAAGAACTAGACATGGGTAACATAGCACTGAAATCTTCAACAGCCTTTTATTACTGTGGATGGAAATAGTGCAATCACAGGCACTCAGTGACTGGAGTAATACTGAGCTATTTGATTATAAACAGTAGCATGCTCCATCAGTGTGTCATGCTTCAAGTGGCTCCATGTTAAGATGGCATCAGCTCACATGCTATGATACAGCAATGAATCATAAGCATTCTTCTTAAAACTCATGCCTCTTACAGTTCATGCTAGTTGCGAGACAGTAATCACCATCTCCATTTTACCAAAAAGGGAGCAGAAATATATGGTTATACATAGGCACATATTATTGATTCAATAATTCTATCAGCAGACAAAAATGGATTTCACAAGATTGACATTTCAAAATTCTGTGTGATACTTTGGAGGCTTGAGAACTCATCCAGATCTGGTAATCAGATACCTGGAGAGATCTGTGTTGGATTCAATTTGTTTTGGTTGGCAACTTGTTTGACTTGCTGCTGGTTGCTGTCACTGTACAAAATCACACCAGAATTATTGTTGGAGTGTTCTTTGTTGCTCTTTTTATGTATAATTGGTGTGT